ATGAAGAAACAAACTATTTCATATTACATTACTATCTAGTAGACATGGGAAATCGGGACGGGTCAGATTGGGTCAAAATCAAGTTGGACTTGACCCGACGAAAAGCTAGCCCGATTCCCATGTCTTGATTGTCTTGATCATGATCGTCTTGATCGTCTTGATCATGATCGTCGATTCAAAGTTTGCGTTTTACTTCATAACCTGTGAAGTAAAACGTGATAAACTTCATATTCATATTCATGAATAAAACCCGTTGACTATATACTTCATTCTTTAGTACTCCATCAATAATATCTTTTGGTTGTGTACTTGTGTACTCTATGTGTATTGTAGGCTTGAGCTTCATATTGAGCAGTAATATTTTGCTATTGTCGCAACAATAATAAAACTCAGTAAACTTCCTTCTTTGAGCACACAGTATAATTGGTGGCGGCTATTTTGTGCCAAATTTCTTGCGCAACTTGCCAAAACTTTCTTCTGAGTGAGTCAACATTTTAATGCCACATTTTTTTAATTGATTTTAATGCCATTTTATTGCACTTATTGTGATCTACAAAATGACATCAAAATCATAAAGATTGACCCACTTAAAAGAAAGTTATGACGAGTTGCACAAAAAATTTTAGCGCAAAGTAGCGATTCCCAGTATAATTACCCGAAACTATGTAATAAATTGCACTCAAATTGATGGAGACTCAATCGAAATCGATTTCGCGTGTAATCTGTCAATTTTTCCACTCAAGACGGTTTTTGACACCACGTGACCAAAAGAACCTTTGGAGGAGTGGCAGAAAAAATGGAAAAGAACTTTTCAAAGAATAGGTTATTGGGATGAAATGCGATAAACCAAAAAATAGCTCAATTAATGTTTTTGATCGTCTTTAGCATGATCGTCTTGTTGATTCAAAGTTCACGTTTTGCTTCATAAATATGAATAAAACCTGTTGACTATATACTTCCTTCTTTAGTACTCCATCAATAGTATTGGTTGTGTACTTGTGTACTCTATGGGCATTGTAGGCTTGAGCTTCATTGAACACTTATACTTAATACTTAATATCTTTTGGTTGTATACTTTTTCCATTCAAGACGGTTTTTGACACCACGTGACCAAAAGCACCTTTACTCTTTGGAAGAGTGGCAGGAAAAAATGGTGAGGGGAAAAGAAAAGAAATGGAAAAGATAACTTTTCAAAGAATAATTTATTGGGGTGAAATGCGATAAACCAAAAAACCAAAAACCAAAAGAAATTTGACAAAAACTGATCTGGTTACTGAGTAATAAAGTTGGAGTAAGGGTTTGTGGGAACAATGGATAGCTTCAAGGATAACAATCGATAGCTTCAAGGATAACAATCGATAGCTTCAAGACTTTGAATAAATTCATTAGTTATTGACTTTTAGTTTTGGACTTGAAGTTAGAGACTCTAAATTCCGTTTAACACCAGTTTAACAACTTTCTCTAATAGAAAGTTGTTAAACTATTGGTATGTAGAATGAAGTTGGCACTCATCCAATTAACTAATCATGGATTTTGAATTGACCAAATTTTGCCTATCAATCCTGAAACTAATTGAGATTTTGACATGGTGTGAGACAATGTTTGACTTGTACTAACAAAGGCATATTGTAATTTGTTCTCATATTTCTGTGTAATATATCTACTATTGAATGCCTTTTGGTTCCCATAATCCATACTTCCAACCAGCCCCATTCATGTCATTGTGAATTCCTATGGGAACACCTGGCACTTTGAGTTGCCATTGGAAAGCCATTGGAAAGCCAGAACAAGTCATAGCACTAACCAAATCATTATTGAGTTGAAAGGAGTAGTTTGGTTTGAGCCAAGCTATTCCTTTCAACCAAGCTTTTCTTGATTTTAGCCTCAAGATAAAGCAAGTTTAGGAGATTTTCTTCAAATTTCCATTCATTTTCAATCTATACCTTATCGCACCAGTGGGAAATTGGTGCTTTCAGCACGCGATTCTCGTTTCCCATTATTTCTTTTCTCATTTCTTTTTCCATTCTTTTCCTTTCTCTTGTCGGCGTCAAATTTATGGCAAGTCTTTAATTATTGAGGAAACTCGATTGAGGAAATGGGGGAGGGGACATTAATGGGGAGAGAGCGGAAAAGAGCCAAGTACAAGGAGCTCTTTGTAGGTTTTGTTGGCTCACAACCGATTTGGATCTTACAATTAGTCTAATCCTTACTTTAAATCTATAACTTAACAAATTATTTATTTTTTAGAGTACATTTTTTGATGGCTTATGAAATTAGAAGTTTCTTGGAGCTCGCTTGAAGCCTCCTTTGTTGAATTAAAAGCAAAAGCTTTCTTCTAATGCAAATTCAATTCTATAACTAGTTAAACAATCTCTGAAGATCAATAGATTATTGATCAATAGATTATTGATCAATAGGTCATAGATCAATAGATTACTCAAGAAATAAATAATTAATTCTGAAACTACATGTTTCTAAATTTTCTATTTCTTTCTAAAGATTTAGAACGCTTAGAAACTTCCCTCTTTAAAACAAAGCCCGTTTTAACGTCAAAGCCTCAGTTTGTAAACATTCAACATCCTAAAATGCTTACAAATTCCGAAAATTGAGCCATTTTTAGCCATTAGCCATTTTTACAAGACCTAAACTAAAGTTTTCCCCATGCTTGGAACCTTTCCTTTGTAAGAACAAAAGGTTCTTCCGTACCTGTCTATTGGGGGAAACGAAGGAAAAAGAGAAAAAGAATTGGCTAGGATTTCATGTCTTTTCTCTTTTTTTCTTTGTTGGGTCTAAGAGGAGAGAGTGCTGAGTGTCCCATTTCCCACAGAAAGAAAGGGGTTCCCAAGTGGGGATAATACCTGCCGCTTTTTCTTGCAATTCCTTTCACCGATTTCCTCGATCCTTGTAAGTGACACCTCTTATCCATGCTTTAGGAAATGTTCCCGGTCCTTGATTGGTTGTATTTCACATTTTAGTCCCCGTACTCTAGGTTCTTGCTGTTTCACAAGGCTGTGTTTCTCCTAGAAATGAAGCCCTAAACTTATAGAGCCAGGCAGCCCTAGACTTATAGGGTCAGGCAGCTCTAGACTTATAGGGCCAGGCAGCCCTAGACTTATAGGGCCCGACAACCCTAGACTTATAGGGCCCGACAGCCCTAGACTTATAGAGCCAGGGCCTTTGTTGTAGTGTGTAGGATTTGCAGGAGTAAGTCAATCCTAGGCTTATAGGGCCAGACAACCCTAGGTTTATAAAACCAGGTCAGATCTGGCTTGTAAGCCTAGGGCTTTGACATGCCCTGTTTTTTTGTTGTAGTTTGTAGGCAAGGATTTGCTGGAGTAAGTCAATCGAGGTCAATTCAAAGCAGGCAAGATCCAATCTGGCCTGAGCTAGGTTTTGCCCTTATTTTGCTCTTAAAATCATCTTTAGAACAATTCTAATTCCTTTTGCTTTATGAGAATCAATCTTTGACTAGATATCTCAAAAATTACACTAACTTTTGAAGACTTCTGAAGACATTTTTGATTCTTGCAGATGATTCAACTTTCTAAAATATTACTTTATACCAGTTTCTAGACCATTTCTTCAAGAGAATCTTTTTCCGATTAAATGGCATTTAACATTTTAATGTCTGACTACTTTGAGTAGAATTTTCATGAATTACATTCTTTTTTCTTTCAAAACATATGTTCAAAGGCAATAAGAACCAGCTGTTTTATGGCCCTAAGCACGTTGGTGTTTTGTTTAGCGCTGGGAAATAGTAAAATTGGCAGAAGATCTTGTAAACCATCTCGAAAACACAAATTTTTAATAAATTTCTTTATAGTTTAGTTTTTTTTGAAGCTTTTGCCTTAAGTTAATGCTTCGTTTTTGAAAAAACAATTGCGTTGAGTGTTCTTTTCACTGAAAGTAAACGTTTCTTTTCTTTTTTGTTGACCTGACGACTTTTTTGTTCTCGTTTGAAAGGTTTTTCTTTCGACATTGGTGAAAATTGAGAGACCAAGGATTGTTTATTCATTTCTAGAAAAGATATTCACTCTTCTCCAAAATCTAGTTACGTTTCACGCTTGAATGATCAAAACTTTCTTCACATAAGAAAACTTTCTCTAAAATCTCTTTCTATGGGAGTGGGACAAATGCTACCTTTTTTTTGCGCACCGGACATTTGCGCACCTTTTTTTCCGCACCTTGCCCACTAGCGCACCTTTTTTGCGTTTTAAAAAAGCTCTAAAAAGCTAATATTAACCAATTTCTATTCCAAAAGTTGTTTTTCTAGGTAATTTTAGGGCGTAGAATTCAAATTTTGACATAACAGAGCGTGTGGAAACAAACGGACGGAGTTATACAAAGAGAAAGATCGACAATTTAATTTGATCTAACCGTTTTGCCTTTCAAATTGATTCCACACGCTCTGTTATGTCAAAATTTGAATTCTACGCCCTAAAATTACCTAGAAAAACAACATTTAGAATAGAAATTGGTTAATATTAGCTTTTAGAGCTTTTTTAAAACGCGAAAAAAGGTGCCCTAATGGGCAAGGTGCGGAAAAAAAGGTGCGCAAATGTCCGGTGCGCAAATGTCCGGGTGCGCAAATGTCCGGGTACGCAAATGTCCGGGTACGCAAATGTCCGGGTACGCAAATGTCCGGGTGCACAAATGTCCGGGTGCGCAAAAAAAAGGTCGCATTTGTCCCACTCCCCTTTCTATTCTTTAAAATTCTATTCTTTCTAACTATTTAAATCTTATTTTGTATTCATTATCTAGAAAATTAAACTTAAAAGTTTAATTTTAAAGTTTCTTTTTAAAGTTTCGTGAAAAGTTTTTTCAATAAACGTTTGGAAAAGGAAATTTTAAGATTTTCTAGTTTGATTTGGGCGATTTGTAAATTTTTTATTCACTTCTTGTGGAAAAACTTGAACAAAATGATTTCAGATTATCGAAAAACTATATTTTTATATTATCTGATCAACGAATCATGACGTGATGTAAGATTTTTTTTCGAAATGGCCTCCGGTCTAACATGCATTGGCCACTTTTGGACTATGCTCAGCCTCATTGCAACGGCTTTGATTATCGGTAAGGCTTCGAAAAGTCACAATACTCACCAAAATAAGCTGAAGAACCAAAATAAGCTGAATCTTTACTTGATATTTTAACCTTTCCAACTGCTTCTTCAAATTGAGAGACTCCCAAAATTCTTCAACTGTAAAGAAGGGGTTTGAATTGAAATCGATTCTCGCTAAAACCAAATTGGTGTAGTAATATAATTTTTAATGACGTTTATGTAGAAATGACTAAAGTAAATCGGTTTATCAATAATATTGTCTACATGGTATGGTAAACCCAATTTTATTACCTTTTTTAATACCTTTAAAAAGGTATTAAAAAACGAAATCGGGCTTTTAGGTCAGTTTGTCACTCCCGAAGATGATCAGTCCAATACGGTTCCTATTTTGATCGAATACGGTTCCAATACGGTTCCAATACGATTCGTATTTTGATCTAATACGGTTCCAATACGGTTCCTATTCTGATCTAATACGGTTCGGATACGGTTCGGATACGGTTCCAATACGGTTCCTATTTTGATCTAATACGGTTCCAATACGGTTCCTATTCTGATCTAATACGGTTCCAATACGGTTCGGATACGGTTCGGATACGGTTCCAATACGGTTCCAATACAGTTCCATGCGGTTCCTATTTTGATCTAATACGGTTCCGATACGGTTCCAATACGGTTCCAATACGGTTCCTATTTTGATCGAATCCGGTTCCAATACGGTTCCGATACACTCTGTCAAAAAAATTATAGACGCACCTTGTTTTAATAAATTCAGTAATAAATAATAACACAAACCAAATAAATCAATAATGTGTGGGTCCTCCTTGCTTTAGTCCAACTTGAAAAAGACGTCTCGGTATCGAAGTAGTTTTGGAGCGCCGTTGGCTGAAGTCGGTTGCAGACTTCTTGAATGGCTTTCTCGAGTACATTCATGCTTGAATATTGCTTGTTTCCCTTGCAGACATCTCGAACGAGTGTCCCCCACACATTCTGATTCGGGTTCAAGTCGGGGCTGCAAGCGAGAGTGTCGATTCATGCATCTTGTGAAGCAACACGCATGGATACTCGCGTTATCGTGCATCAAAGTCTTGAGTATTTCAGCTAGTTTTGATTTGGCGGGATGCTGAATTTTTGACAAAAATACAGCCAAATTTGAAGCGGGAATTGGTCCCAGAAATTTGGGCATAGTGGCGTCCAGAAAGCGGCAGGACTCACAAGGGAATGGTCAGAAATGACTGTGAGATTTTGAGGTGCAAACACAAGTCGAGCACGGCGAGTATGATAGCGCTTTTAGTTTTTGCGAATGGGCAATGATTTTTGGGAAAAACGTGGTGCAAATTTAGTCATCTAGGGATTAAAAGAGGCTTCTCGCCTATTTTGAACAGAAGCGAGATGGTGTAGTGAATAGTGAGTTGAGCTATGAAGCTAACATCATCTTTTGCTCACGGGTTCCTTCAAAAACACCTCGATTTTTAAAATAGGGATTTTTGCATTGTAAATGATACGAAAAGAAGATATTGAGCTGTGAGAAGACTTGGCCAGTCATTTACACAAAGATTTTCTTTGCTTTTTAAATGTTACAAAAAGAAGCTATTCTTTTTGGGGTCGAAAAATCGCTTGCAGGTATCCATTTCTACCTAAAACTTCATCAAAAATTATATTATACATAAGAATGCATAAGAAATGCGAATTTCAACATTTTCATAAATTCCCAACGATAGAAACCTGATATCGATGAATGTTATAAACTATTTGAAAGTTGTAAATCTCCTCTACAAAATAGGCTAAAACGTGTTCAATTGATCGAACCATTGAAGAAATTTCGAGGGCGAAATGCGAGTGACCAAAAAAAGGAATCGAGTCACTTTAGGAACAAGTTTAGTGTGGTCAAAATAGAGTTAGCTTCCCAAAATTGAAGATTTAAAAAGAAGAATAACTACGTATCAATTCATTAAAACAGTCTAACGGGAATGCATTTACAGAAATTTAGATAGAGTACCTAATAGCTGATGCGCTAGAGAGATGGTCGGTTAGTCCTCTAGTCTTTTAGAATTAACTTTTGCACATGAAAACACAATTTAGAAATTCTTGGGGATACTATAGTATTCTATTTATAGATTCATGCTCAGAATCTTACCATATCGAGCTTCCTATTCGGTGAGAAAGATCAGGAATCTTGAGTACTATTGAGTAGAGCTGCTCCTGAACCAAATTACCGGAATGGCCAGCTATGGCTTATCCTAGAGGACCAGCTCTGGTACTTGATGTGTTTAAGAGATGATCAAAACAATTGAAACACGTTTTAGCCTATTTTGTAGAGAAGATTTACAACTTTCAAATAGTTTATAACATTCATCGATATCAGGTTTCTATTGTTGGGAATTTATGGAAACGTTGAAATCCGCATTTCTTATGCATATACCTAATATCATTAGACCTAATTTGGTTAAAACAATTTGCCTAAACACTGTATTTGATTAGAATTTGATTCCTAGTTGAAATTGAATCATAAAATTATCTTGAACACTTCAGGCTCGGTTCTTTCACCCGAATGGTTGATCGGTCAGGTTGTGGTTGAGAATCGTCATATGCCGGCCTACTTCGGAATCTATAAGAGATGCAATTATCCGATATTTGATAAAGTTTTTGTAAAAATTAATCAATAATCAATCAATTCAGCAAGCCAGGAAAGTGTTATTAATAGCAGAGTGTGGAATCTATGAATCTTTCGCGGCAATGCCTTCATTGTACTGGCAATTGTCGGCTGTAGCTTCTTTCGCCGGCGCTGCTCTGTCACTTATGCTTGGTGAGTTGAATAAAGCTAAAGAACAACTGAATTCCTCAAAAGATTAATAAAATAGGTTATTGTATTCATTTTCAATACTACTTTCTCTTTCTTTCAGTCTTTCTTCTCCTTCCCTCGATGTGCCTTCGCGACGTGATCACTCATGGAACAGCTCCAATTGTTGGCTTCTTTCAAATAGTAGCAGGTGAAAGAAAAACTTTTAGAACTTAAAACAAAAAGTTTAGCAATTTTACTCTCAATAGCTGGTGTGCTTTACCCGTTTGGCTGGGACAATCGACAAGTGAGAGACGCTTGTGGAGAAAAAGCTGATCGATTTAACCCTGGTAAATTTGTAGATGGCTTTAGATAGTGTTAGAGTTCTTTTTCAGAAGATTAGATTCTGAAATCAGGAGAATTTAGATAGGATTAGGGTTAGATACGGTTATTCACATTCATCTGAATTCCTCGTTGAGATAAGATCTCAGCTTTTATTGCATTTTCTTCTCTTTCTTCCTTTCTTCCTTCCTTGCATCTCCTTCTTTCACTTGGCAAAGTAAGAGTCCAAATAGCTCAGTGGCAGAGCAATTACACGGTAAGCAAAAGGTCGAAGGTTCAATCCCCTCTCTGGAATCAACTTTTCTTTATTTTGTGCATTTGGCTAGGTTAGGTTCATTGTTAGTAAGTTGTTAGCGAGTTTGGACGAGCCATCTGCGCCGTTCTGCACCAGCATTTTCATCATCTCCGCCGCATCGGTTGTCTCGAAAGTTCTTGAGTTCGTCTCCGCAACCACCAACAGCGTGTTACTCTCGTTGATCGCCTTCAAGCCAGCGACGTCTAGGATCCATCTTCAATCAACGCAGCAATCCGATGTTGAATTCGAATTGAACTGCTAAGCCTTTTTTTGTTAAAGGCGGTAGCGTCGACTTTGGCTTGAGCTTGGCAGTGATTTTCAAACGATCCTCGAACGCCTTGAGTGCTAGTACGTTGCTCCGTCGACCCGTGATTGCTCATATCTAAAAAAATAACTAGAGCAGCTAACTAAAACTATTAACTGCCAAGAAAACATAAAAGAAAATCAACACTCAATAACTCTACTAATCACTAAAAATCTGCTAGAATTAAATCAAAATGAATTTTCAACCAAATTTCCTTTTTTAAAACCACAAACTACAGTACTTCGACGTAAAAAAGGCACAAAATAGAATACAGTTTTTGAGTCAGTAAACAAAATGTACAAAATTATACAGAGTGCGGCAAAAGTTTGGAGCCTCTTCTTAAGATAGTTAAAGACTTAAAAACTAGCTTAAAAAAGTCAAAAATTGATAACAATTTCTTTATTCAAATCATAACAACAAATAACTTATAAAAAATGCTCGAAATTTCCACCATCCGCTTCGATATACCTCTTTAAACGCTTTGGGAAGTTCCTCACAATGGTGGCGCACTCTTGAACAGTTATTTCATCCCAGGCTCGTTTCAAAGCAGCTTTTAAAGCATTCACCGTTTGATACGTCTTCATCGAGATCTTGTCTTCCATTTATACAATCTGAGAGCGTAGATAAAGTTGGGATTGGGTTTTTGTCGAATTGGTCTCAAAAACAAAGATTCGGATTGAATCGTTCTGATTTGAGGTAAATAAGGCCTCGGATTTCAATAGACGTTTTCATTCTTTAAACTTCTAGGTGGTTGTCAAATTGGGAAAGCTTTGGTATCAATGTGTGTTGGAGCGGCTCTTCTCGTAATTTGTTGTCTCCTATCGCTTTGTGGTGGGAAAAGAAGGAAAAGGAGAGGGTAAGTTATGTCAATTCAAAATTCTTTTGAGTCGTTGATATCCTCCCAAGCTATCAATATCAACTTTATTGAATCTTGCCAAAAATTTAGCTCTGAAATGGTTCGCCAAGATGAAGTGATTCGAGGCTACGAACAACCGATGAGCTCAACAAAAGCATAGTTTTTTCCTCAATGATCTGTAGCTTTTTGACCAATCCAATATTTTGATTTGTAGCTTTTTTCAAACATTTCCCATTTCCAGTAAGTGACCAAGATGCTCAAATGTGATATATTTTTATACATATAAAAGAATTTCATCAAAATTTCGTTCTCGCTTGATACAGTTGATGTTTTTGACGTAATAGGATTACGTTTTAGAAGGCTACTCATTACTCGCCATCTCAAATTGACTTGAAAATTACAGGGGGGTAAAAAACATCACAAAATAAGAAGTTACTGAAGTTTTTAGCTGCTAAATGCTAAAAATAACTGAAATCTTATAAGGTTTCAAAGTTTTTAGATTAAAATTAAACATTTTTGGAAGTTGGCACGGTGAAGGGGACTCTCCCACGTGTCCGATCGGTAACGGAGTGGCCGAGTGTTTAGGAGCCAGAGCTCGTGGTCCGAGGTTTCCTGGATCGGCCCTTCCGTCGGTTTTCTCTTTAAAGTTAAACATTTTTGGGGATTGGCAAGCTTTAAAGAGGACTCTCACGCTCAGCCAATTGGTTGAGTGGATGAGTGGTTCGAAGCCTGAGCTCGTGGTCCAAGATTTCCTGGTTCGGCCCTCTCCGGTTTCTTCTTCTTTTTTAAAGTTTGTGGTGATTTGTTGCCATAAAAGGTAAAGATAACAAAACTTTATTTAATTATTTCATTCGTTAGCTGTTAGATTATTTGATTTGATTCGTTAAATGATTATTTGAAAATGGCATTATTTGAAAATGCCCCTCTGAAAAAACTATAATGATTATCAAATGTTAAACTTTGTCTTTTGTCTTTCACAGCTTGATTTAGATCACAGTAGCTGTTTAATTTGCTGAGCCAGCTTCTAGATTCATTATTCGATTGATTGAGCTGACTCAGAAGTAAAGTACAACGTTTCACAGAATAGTTACTTGCAGAAAACAGAGGTAGAACAAAATTTGATAATCTTGAGGCATTCATTTATTTCTCCAAGTGTGAATCAAACATTTGTATATTCTTTCGTTGAAACTTATTCGTTGCATTGAACGGACTAACCCAAGTGATCGAGCCAATTTTTGCAGGGGGAGGCTTCTTTTTGAGGCGAAATTTCTCCAACAATAGCTGTTTCGTGTAAATCGAATAGGGTTTCATCGTAAGCAAAACGACAAATGGATAGAGGAAACCGAAACCCATCAACGGTCCCCAGCATAACGTGTTGAAAGCTAAAAGTTGGGCTTAGGTTTAAGCTTTGATAATCGAATACCAAAGAAAGCTACGGAAGAATTGTTGAAGTAGCAAATGTAGCCAAGGAGTGATGGTAGTAGGCCAGGGAGGAGAGTGCATAAAGCCTAATTTGGTGATTGAATATCAATGTTTGTTAGTAATTGTATAGAAATTGGGTTATAGATTCGATTACTTTGCATAAGCTTGGCTTAATGGTACTGATCTGATCCATCAAAGTACCAAAAGCCAGACCTAAGGCTGGCTGTTAGCCTAGCTCTTCTAGTCTAGCTCTTCTAACCTAGCTCTTCTAACCTAGCTCTTCTAGTCTAGCTCTTCTAGCCTAGCTCTTCTAACCTAGCTCTTCTAGCTTAGTTCTGGTCCAGTATTGTTTACAGATTGGAAGATAGATCGATCGAAACAAAACATTAACCTAACTAGCTGATATCGCTGAGTAAAGATAAGGCTTACAATTACCGTAAAGATTCTAATAGAACGCCATCTCCTTATATAATCGGGCAGTCTAACTTCTTTCTAGGAAATCATTTTTTTTCTCAGTCGCTAGATTTCTCCTAACTACACTTTTTGTATCAAAAAGTACTAGATTTCCAGAGCTATGATTTGACATCCAAGCGCATCCTGTAGTTTAAAGCAGTGCGGAGAACGGAACGTTCAAAGTTAGACTACACCCGCCATTATGAGGGTGATGTTTTATTAGAATATTTATGGTAGGTTGGTCTTATTTTAAAGTTACCAGTAACTGCTAACCTGACATACTAGTCGCATAAAAGCCGCCCTCTGCGCTTTGAGCAATCCTGGAGACAATTGAGTGACCACTTTATGATTTGAAAACAAAAGATGATATGTGAAAAGAGTATAAAAAGTGAAAAGCATCGTCGCACCATAAAGGACAAAGCCGCCAAGAATTAGATCAATCAGTTCAAGTTGAATGGTGATCGGTTCGACAGAGAATTTGCCGCTTGGAACAAGCGTTGATGTGATATTCTGAAGATGTGATCTTGATCTTGAGTCAAAAGAAAGGCAAGTTTATTTTCTTATCACTAAAATTGTTTTCTAAAGAGTTCTAGGAAATCTACCATATTGCAGCATCTTTTCAAAGTTTAACCAGCTTTTTACCAACTTCTAAACACTCACCAAAACCACAATGAATCCACCCAGTGCACAGGTTCTGCAAACGATGAAGGCCACGACGGGAAATGGCATCACAATTGCTGGATAGAAGAAATATTTGTGATATCGTAGATACAAACGCTTAATCTTTCCATAAACGACCATTTCGAAACGAAATTTGAAACAGAGAATGATTGCTCGTAATGAATTCGCTTCGGCCAAGTAGTAACTGAGCTGCAAGGACATAAAAGGCGTAAAGTTTCAATCAAAAGGCACGTACCAATAAAATTTTGATTGGAATCGCTGAATCTTGAAGGCAAGCCAGAGAAATTGAAAGAAAATAAAATTTCTCACTACCCGGTTTAGTGAATATATAAGCGGTATACAGAATTGAATATGCAAAACTGAATAATCCGGCAGCAACCTGCAAAAAAGGTTATTGATGCTACTTTGTTAAGCCTTGAGAAGTTCCTTGTTTTCCGCTTTCCTGCGTTTATCTGTCAGCTAAATGTTTGGGTAAGCAGCCACGATCAGGTACATAGTTCCAAAGGCTTTTTACACCAGAGTCAAGTCACTAGCTTGATTGGCCAGGCTTCTGCCTTTGTCTTGTATTATTGCTTATGGCTTGACCCGCAAAAAAGTTCCTGGACCTGTTAATAGCCTGTCCTGAACCTGGTCTTGAACCTGACCCTGGCCCTGAACCTGGCTCTGAACCTGAACCTGGCCCTGAACCTGGTCCCGAACCTGAGCCTGGTCCTGACCTCACCGTTGTCAAACCGGACTCTGGCCTTTTTATCTCAATTGGAACACTCTTAACTACGATTAGAGTGTGTTCCTCGCGAGTCATGCGTTTTTTAAAACGCACATTTGGGAAGAATTATCGTACTTTTAGCGAAAATTATTGCAAAAAATTGGAAGCTATCTTTTTTGCGCATCCGGCCCATTAGCGCACCTTTTTTTCGCGTTTTAGGAGCTCTAAAAAGCTAAGATTACCAATTTCTATTCCAAAAGATGCTTTTCTGGGTAATTTTAGGGAGTAAAGCCCAAATTTTGACATACCAAAGCTTGTGGAATCAATTTAAAAGATAAAATGGGTAGCCCAAATTACAGAAAACTTTCCCCATGCCTAACTCCGTCCGTTTGCTTCCACAAGCTCTGATATGTCAAAATTTGGGTTTTACTCCCTAAAATTACCCAGGAAAGCACCTTTTGGAATAGAAATTGGTAATCTTAGCTTGTTAGAGCTCTTAAAACGCGAAAAAAAGGTGCGCTGATGGGCCGTTGCACAAAAAAAGGTAGCATTTCTCGAACTCCCAAAAAATTGGCGCAAAAAATCACGAACGCCGGCTTATATACGAATCCTTTTAAAGAGATTCAGCCGTTGAACTGCTTTAATGGAAAATTCCCTTCAAATGTAAAGATATTCAATTTACTAGGCGTGTAAAGAGGATTACTCGTAGTTACTCGACCGAAAAAAGTCGATTAATCGAGTAAAAGTTACTTATGCGAATTTTACTCGAGCATTTACTCGAAAGGAACACACTCAAACTACGATGCTCGCAACTTCACTCACCAGACTATCAAAAATATGAACCCGATAGCCGATCATTACTTTCGGTGTGCTTTTATATGCGACAAAGATCATAAAAGCTATTGTAATCGCAGCAAAGAGTAAGAAAATCAGCGCTATTTCGGATCGATACGGGATTGGATCGGCTCCAATCAAGTGGGATTCCATTTTATTTTACGAAAAGTGAAATTTCCATGCACTGTTGCTCAAATTTGGTGGACAGGTGGAATTTTTCAAAAAAAGTGGGCATGAACTCTGTTTTGAAGATTTGAAAAAATCGATAAAACACAAGTGCTTTATGGTGATTGTAGAAAGCAGGTGCAACTAAAATTCAATCTGAAAGTTTCCTTTATTTTCTTTTAGATTTTTTTGCCAAAGCTGGATAAGTCTTTTCATTACGGTTGCAGCATAAAATTGAATGGAGAAAGAATTTTGTTTTATGTGAATCATCGAATTGATTTTGGAGAAACTGTCTATTGCCAAAGAAGGACTAGAATAGCATTTCTTTATATTGATAAGCATTTTTCCACCGAGTTTTTCCGATCAAAGACAATATTTAACGAGGCTTCAGAAAGCTTGATCTTTAACACATTTGCTTTTAGGAGTGGACCAACTGCTCAAAGACAAAGTCTCCTCAACTCAAAGATAAAGTCTGCTCAAAGACAAAGACCAGCTCGACGACAAAGTCTGCTCAAAGGCAAAGACCATCTCAACGACAAAGTCGGCTCAAAGGCAAAGACCAGCTCAAAGATAAAGTCTGCTCAAAGGCAAAGACCAGCTCAAAGATAAAGTCGGCTTAAAGACAAAGTCGGCTTAAAGACAAAGTCGGCTTAAAGACAAAGTCCATAGTTATGTAATTAGTGACTAGATTTTTCATTTTCCAGAAAGTTCCCAATCTTTTTTGGGTTTTTCAAATGAATTATAGAAATGGAGCCAAATGGGGAGGAGGAGACATGTATATTCATGGAGGACTCCTCCATGAATATACGTTATAACAAAGAACTCACAAGGGAACGTTCCAAAGAGGGTTTGAGACTTTTAAACGGCAATGAGATGCAAATGCCTGAAGAATCCGA